CAGACTGCTTTAAGCCTTCTGGACAATAGCATGCATTTCAAGGAGTGACTATTCTATAACGTTCTTGAAGATGTTACAACAATGGTTTTGTATTTTTAATGTGGAGTAAGAAAGAACAGGTATGCATAAATATCATGGACAGTGCATTTAGTATCAGTTTCAGACTATGAATGAGTAAGAATGAGGCATTTCTAAATGGCTAATGTATAATTAACATAAATTCCTGAAGTTAGTATATATGTGGCGTATGTGAGAATTGTAGTCTTGGTGGGTAGCTGTCTGACATTTGGTTTACTGCATTTCTCCCTGTCCTGTCAATACTAGTTAAAAACCTGACTTAGTGATTTCTTTTTTCTACCTGCAAATCTGAGTGCTTCACGCACCTAAAAATGCATGCATCACTGAAAAGTTGTAATTAGCTTAAAATGGTTATCCTTGCTTTTAAGGATTGAACATATAAGAAGAGGTTGCCAAAAAAGCAGTTCTAAGTTGGGGGAAAGCAATTTATTTTCACTATTTGTGTGCACACCTGTACAGGCTTGATATGATTTCCAAATTTTCTTGTAATAAGCCCCAGGTGTAACACTTTAGGCAATTATGAATTGAGCTGCATAATGAGCTGAAAGATTTTGTTTGTTCTAGCAATTAAAGACTTTCATTTCACTTAGATTTATGTTCCATTCAACTTGCAGGTCTCTATCTTTTAATTCTTCAGCAGGTACAATTTTCTCCAGTGGAAATTGTGCATGGCTAGGGACTGTTTCTTAAGCTTTTTAATGTACTAACTATGAAAACATATGTATTGTTAGCTTGCTGTGCTCTTAAACAAATGGGTGAATGAGGTTCATGGAGTTTTGGAAGACAAATTACACTTCCAAGGTTGCCAGCAGTTGTGCATAAACAGCTGGTGATTTAGTTGATCAAGGGTAAAGAAAAAAGTTTACCCATGCTTGACTCCTGTAAAAGAAATGGGATACATTGTGATATCTATTCTTTAATGATGAGAGTGTCTGACTGTGGATTTTTATTTCAATTACAAATTCAACTACATTGCATTATGAACTACGTTGAGATCAGCAAAAACATTGGATAAATGCAGTACTGCACACTGAGACTAGC